GAAAGCAGGTGGGAAAGCTGGTCCTCCCAGGAATGCAGGAGAGACACCTCACCTGCGTGCTGCTACCACCAGCTGGGATCTTTGAGGACAGACACGGCTTCCTGCATTTTGTTTGTTTTTTTGCTAAGCCCTCCTCCCTAAAATACTTGAGACGTTCTATCAGTTTCTTCTACTGGAAACCAAATAGCACACACAAGGCTTGAACTGTCCAGAGAAAAAGAAGCACTAGAGAAATATTATTAGAAAATAATTACCTAACCCTGCGGACAGCCCAAGGCACCTACTGTTCTTGTTTCAGATTACCAGCTTTCTGAGGAGAGCGTCATGATAATTTGTATCTTACGTTCTTTTTGTCCTGTGCCCGTACAGCATTTACCTTGCTCCCTGCATCACGTTCCTACGCTCTGCCTTAGTAAGAGAGTTGCCAGTCTCTACTGTAGCTGTGGTGCTTACGCTCTCATAACGCCCAAGCACGATCCCCAAGTGGAATCACTACTGCTGTAGAAATCACATTTCTGACAATAACTGATTTCTTCTGTTACTCGGTCACGACTTGCAGGAGTTATTGTTAAAGAGTTTGTTCAACGAAGCCAGGCAAAAGAAACGGTTAAGCGAAAAAGCTTTTTAAGCCCAAAGAGGGCTAAATGAATGCAAAAGGTATGGAAGCTTCACTTGTATAGAAACACAGTTCACACTATGGAAACAACTGCTTTCATTTGTGGGACAGGAAGGAACTTGTTGACAATGAAATACTTGCGCTCTGGTATGTGTAGGTGTGGCTGTAAAAGTAGCAGGGAAGAGGGAAAGTTCCTTGGCTTCAGGAGAGCTGTATATTTGTTTTATTTTTATATATATACATATATATATATAAACCCTGCCTGAAAGAAACACCTGAAACAAGACGACTCTGAATTTCTTGGCTACTTGTGAAATCAGAAGAGGTAAAAAACCCCTGACATTCTTATAACAGCTCTACGGTGTTATAAGTGCGTAGGGTGGGGGGAGGTGGGGAATATGATATGTGTATATTGAGGTAAAACACAGTATTTTTAGTCTACTTCCTAAGATAATTTTGGATGTTTAGAATGTGGGAACCTTCTTCCTTTGGGAGTATTTCTCAACAACTGAAGTATGGAGTTAGCATTTAAGTCATAAGGGTTTCACTGGGGGGAGGCAGAGAATTAATTCTCTTTTCTACTGCAGAAAAATCCTCCTGAAGATTCACTGGGGAAATTCTGGAAAGCTAGTATCATTGTGGCTAGTACAAGATTTTAGCACTACGTGATTAACATGGCTTTTTTAGAACTTGTTTTTCTTGTTTGCTTGTTGGAAAAACTTGAAATCTTCAGGCATTTCCAGTCGTCATAAGTGTGTGTGTGTGCTTGAAACGTGCTGTTGTTAAGTTACCTTGAAAAGGAATTACTCAGAATCCTTTTTACTACGGAATAAATAGCTTTTGTTTGACAGGGTTAGGAGAGTATTATAATATCCATGGCCTCTCTCAAAGTGGGCCACAGAGCAAAGTTCACTGAGCAGAGGTTGATCCCAATGCCTGTATGCTAGGGCAGTGCTCTGATAAGGGCTCAGATCGAATGCAAAGTTCGAAGATTATGTAGGACATGTGGTTTGGTTACTGACTAATAGGAGAAAAAGAAAGCATGTGCCATCTGATGTTGATTTCCAAATGAAAGAAAAGCAAAAAGCAGAAGCCAAAGCAAGTGCAGTGCTGCCCCTACCACTGTCTGAGGTGTTCAGTGCTCGACTTCGCTATATGTCTTGGAAGATGCATTTTAGTGCCTTGCCTTGCTCTCAGAAACCCTGGCTGAGCTGCTGCCCAGTTGAGCCTGTGGTGGTTCTGTATGAAGTAAGTCTCCCAAAAACTAGAGCATCGGTAGCTGATGTGACTGTAGTGATCTTAATTCTAGTTGTACGCTGTCTGTATAAATAATTTCATATTGATGTTTCACTACAAAGCCTTAGGGTGTGATTTCTTGGTCATGCCATTTAGGTCTGTAACAAACAGGAAAAGCATGTTTATTCTGTACTTTGCAGTGTGCTCTTAACTATCAGCAGACATATACTTTATGTCTGTAAGACCCCAGATGTGCTAAAAAGACCAGCCAGAGCCTGCACTCCTCATGTTTTTCTACAGACCAACAAACATTTTTCTTAACACACTACAGCGGAAAGATCCAAAGCTAAGATTGGCACTGAACATGAAAATTTTCAGGTAACCAGTTATAGTTCTGTATTCCAGTATGGCGTTATGGAGTACAGCTAGAAGATGCGAGGCAGCCTGCGCTGTCCAGGCTTCGGTCCGTGATGCAACCCCCAAAGGAATCGCAGAGGTACTGTTGGAACCATGTTACTCTCAGAGCGTCACTGCCAAACGGCGCAGTCTGTCTATTAAACGTGGCAGATCACTCACTAAGGGAAATTTAGCATTGGTTGCAGTTTCTGAAATTCAAACATCAAGCACAATATATTGTATTACTCAAGTTGGAAGTGATGGACAAATGAGCAAAAAATCCAATAAAACATGATGTCCACCACTTGGCAAGGCAAGGAGGAAAAGGCGGCAGACACTGGCAATTGCTGCTAACACGGAACAAAAATATATATCATAAGTGTTTCTTTTACTCTTGCATCGTATCTGTCTCAAGGTTAATATTTTGGTGTCCCTCTGTTGGGTTTTTTCCCTAATAGAAAAGTGAGAATACATAAAATAATCACACTAGCTTTACAAAGGAAATAAAATACAAAAATCCTTGGGACGCAAGATTCACATCCACCAGAAATACGGTGACACACACCAGTCAAAATATTCATTAGTATTAAAAGAACTGGCTAGCAAGCTTGGCTAAACCTGTGCCCTGGGTAAGTCAGGAATGGTACCCATAGCTGGCCCTTGAGGAGAGGAGAGGGACTAGGGGAAGCTCTTTAGACTCTTTTCAAGCTATTTGATTCATGAGGTAATTTCTCCACTGCAGTACACTATATTTTAGAACAGTGTGCCTGGGTGGAGGAAGAATACGGTCTATCAGTTACAGTAAGATTATTCTTTTTTTCGTTGTGCACAAGAGCTTCCAGTTCATTGTTATTTAACTGACAAACCAGAAGATGTGATGGGAGAACCTCCTTCTCCTTTGCATTCCTACCCTAGACGTCCATAGACACATTTTTGGAAGTTCAGCTGGTGCCCTTTTGATCTGGTGGAGAGTAAAATGTGAAAAGTTCTTTATATTTGCAATATTTGCAAATGCAGGCAAATTTCCCACCTCAGAAAGTCAAATGTTGCAGTAATCAGAAAATATATTTTAGGAAGCAGAAAAAATCTGGCTTGACAAGGGACATCTTATATCTTTTTGGAAATTGTACTTGATAATTTTTCCTCAGCGTCCTGTTCATGAACGAAGATTAATGTTTCCTAGCCTTGTAAGAACACTCAGGGTAAACACTTCCTATTTATTAAAAATAATCAGAAAGTGTCAGTCTGCAAAGGATTACATGGCAATGAGAGGGCCTCAACCATTATTAAATGTATAGTAGTATATAATGACCTTAAGGCCAAAAGTCTGGGCCAAGACTGTTGCAAGCAACAAACACGATACAAAAGCCTACAGTCCTTAATAAGCTGTACAAAGGAAATGATATAATTAGGGTACGTCTTTTACCTGCATTTAAACAGGTTTTCTCCCCTCCTTTTATGTTGTCAGTTTGACATGAGTCTACTGTGAGTCAAAGAAGATATGAAGGGACACAAAATACCAGCTCTTCTCATCTATTTATTTCACATAGGTGCTACACTTTGGGGTAGGTTTTAGCTCTGTTGTTTATGAAAAATAATAAAGTTGACAATTATTACTCATTTTTAATAGGGGGAATTAATTAATTAAAACAATTTATTAATGGTAAAGAATTGATTTGGGGTAACGTAAAATACTGCCAAAGCAAAAGACGACTGTTTGGAAGATGGCTGGACGGATGGTCATGGCCATCGAGCACACGGAGCACCCTAACTGTTACCTGCCCACGTTTCTGCCCCATGGCTTGGCTGGTGGAGCGTGTTGTGCGACTGCTCAGCAGGCACTAGTTGTCAGTTCATACTGAAAATGGTTTGAAGCACGTTGGTTGACTTTGCAGTGAGATGTCTGAGGAAAAGCCATCCGGATTGCCCTGCCGGCTGAGCTGGAGAGGGCATCAAAATTTCCAAGAAGACAGCTGCAGCAGGACACTCGCTACCAGCCTAAAAGGTTGTCTGACCTTGCCAAGAATGTCCATACGACAATGCTAAGTTAATGCAGTCAGTTTTTAAAAAGATTCATTTAAAATTGTTCTTTTATGCCAGCAAGGCCTAAATTAAATGTTAACAGCAATCAGATGCTACCACTTGTGTGAATTAATTTTGAGGAATCCACACCTTAATTACCTCCAGGGGCTGGGACAATGCTCCCTGACACTATCTGTGGTGGTGAAGCTGTTTCAAGAAGTTCTGTCCTTCCTGGATGGTTGTACTATCAGGTCCTTGTTTTCTGTGATGGTACAACTGCTTGGCACTACGTGAGGTTATTGGTAACCCAGGTCATTGCAACATGGCAGCACTATGGACGTTTGAGCAAGTAGCAAGCTGCAGCTCAAAAGGTTTTGAGGTTGAAGGTGGTGGTTTTGGAAACACATTCAAAGCTCAGGTGCTAAGATGGCAGTGTGCTGATTTGAATACATAGATGCTTACTCAGGATATCTTCTTAAACTGATTGTAAGTTCAAAGACCAGGGGTCTGCATTATAATATTGATTAAACGAATGAAGACCGTTGCTGTCCCAGAGACTCACGCTACAGAATAGCTGTGAAAGAGCTGCTGGCGCACTCGGTAGGGATGTGCTGCCTGCCAGAGCATTGTTTTGTCAGGGATAGAGCGGGGCAGAAATATGCTTGTAGACTAGATTTAACTTATTCATTTATACTTATGGGCTTTAGGTTGTACAAAACAGGAAACAGTGATGGGGCTGTTTTCCAAGGATTGCATCCTCCCTTGTCGTTTCTCACCTGGGAATGATGAAGTAATTTACTGGAAGAAAGGGGACAAATATGTGCACAGCTACTACTACCAGAGTGATCAGCTGGAACGCCAAGACCCAGATTACAGACACAGAACACACCTTTTTCATGAGAACATTCCTAGTGGAAATGCCTCCTTGAAACTGAGTAACTTGACCGTGACTGATGAGGGCTCTTATAATTGCTATGTGGGAACACAGCAAACTAAAACAGAAGTGGAAGTCACGCTGCACGTAAGAGGTCAGTAAGACGTCAAAAATGCCTGGATCACATCAATGGAAATGGGATTACACCAACAGATTTTCTCGTGTTATTTCTTACATGGAATCAAAATCCTCCGACCCAACAGAGCGCCTTTTGGGCCTGATGGTATTACCAGGCAATTCATTTTCTCTGGTGAAATGTTGTAACATGAGTTGACAAATTTCACTGCAGCACTTGTTCTCATAACCTACTGCACTGTGATTTCTAAAGGGTAACTAGGTAGTATACTTGAGTTTTAAAACATTATGTGGCTCCTTGGGATGGTACAGACCCTGGCACTGACAGTAAGTAATGCTGTGCTTTCTTCTGAAATCAAACACAGATTAAATTTTCTTCTCAGCTATGTTTATTCTCCCCAATGTTGTTTCAAAAGACCAATCACTTCAAGTTAAAAAGGATTTTGAAAGTAGTAGGATTGATTTTTTTAAAAAAATTTTTTTTAACCTACAGTTTCCTCTTATTATGCACTGGAATACCAAAAGACAGACACAGAAAGGATGCTGAAGTGCTATGCCTTTTTCACTTACCCAGCACCACGTATATCTTGGGTACAAGGCAACACATCCATCAAAGAAACAGGTCGGCATGAAACCAGGGATGGAGTTCTCTATTCTCTGAGAAGTGACCAGAACATTATAAACACAGCTGATCCTTACGGCTGCCGTATTCATCTCCCTTATGAAGAGTGGGCTGCTGAATGGAAGATGCAAGGTAGGAATGAATGGAAGTCTCTTCCTGCAGCGTTACTGAATGTCACAGCTGGTTTGAGAGCCAAATTTAAAATACAGTATTTCTGCAGTGGGGCAACATGGGTATAGGATGGTGCAAAAGGATGCGCCTTGCTCTCTGAAACTCGTCTGTTACAAGGCAGCATCTGTCCAAGAAGTAGGCATAAGAGGAGGTAGCTCACACTTCTGTAAGGTAGCTTTACTCTGAACATTTTTTCCATATCAATTTCATGTTTCAAGACGTGCATAATAATCTAACTTTACACTCTGTCAAGAAAAGAATTAACTCAGCCAAAATACATGGAAACCTTAGTGAACCTGTGGGTTATATGAGGGAGGGGAAAGTTTGCCTGCTGCTCTAGATGCATGTGCTCCTTACTCAGTCTGTTCCCCACCTTCTGCGAGAGTTTTTTCAGTACCATTTGATGCCTTCATTGTGCTTCTCTGCAAGTGCATCCTCAGGTGCCCGGGCTGAGGCTGGGGGTGCGTGGGAGTGGAGAGCAGCAAGCTTGCATTTGAGCAAACAGCAACTCATTTTGTTAGTTAAGGAAAAACAGGGCTATGAAATTTCAACTCTCGCTTTTGTCCTCCTCCTGAATTTCACTGGAGATTCAGTTCAAGTAAATAACTGGTACTTTTCCACCTCTTCTGTTTCTTAGTTTCTACTTTGCATTTCAAGAGCAATGCAAGAGCAGTTCCCCTGTGAGATGTGCATGGCTGCTTCCATCACCCTGATTTCCCCCTAAAGTTTACCCAGATGCTCTCAGTTCTGAATCCACTGCCTATGCCTCAGAACAAGAGTGCAGTTTCTAATTTGCATACAATAGCTTACAATATAGAAGGTTTCAAGTATGGCATCATAGTCGGTTACAAATGCACTCTAAGCATCTATTTTGTTAATCTATCCTTCTGACCCACAAGAGAAAAAGGTACATTTCGGTACGCTTTTGTTTGCATCCATCTATCCTCTCACTGGAACGTTTTGAAAATAGACTGCTTTCCTTTTCCTTACAGAATAGCAGTGTGGGGTACAATTTTCTTTTGTTTTGTCCTGATGGTTTTCAGCCCCACACCTCTGTTCATTCAGCCCCGCAAACAGAAGCCCAGCGTGGTTATACCACGTCAAAATAACATATTAGTTTCCTCTCCAGCAGACTGCCAGCCACCACAGCCTCCTCTGGTTTTCCTTCCTTTGCAGCAAATCCCTGCTGTCAAATTGATAGTTGTGCTATGATATTAATTTTTATTATATTAGTATTTTATACATTAGCTATTAGTTCCACTTACCTGCTCTTTCCTTCCCCTTCCTTTTTTTTAAAGCTATTCATTAATTGTAAGCATTCCCCACAGACAGGTAAAGTACGTAGGTCCACCATAGCCGAAAGTTCTTTCTAACTAAATACAATCTTTTTATTCTTTTAATTAAATGATGTTGTAACAGTTTTACCCTTTTGCTTTAAATGTGCAGGCATCTGATTAGTTGCATTTTCTCTCTGCTCCAATCGTGGAATTTCATGCTACTTTACACAGTAACTTAGACTAGGCTGAATCACTTTTATTAATGAGACCCCCAATTAGAGGAGAAATAGGGAAATGAAAACACAATAATTTTCTAAGTATAGCTAATACCAATTAGATAATATTATTTTTTAATGTAAGATAGGTTTGCTTTTAAAATCTTCAGATGCTTCTAGAAGCATACTGTGATGCTTGAATATGACATCAAAATAATGAAATATGTTTTTATATTTGTCCACAGTAGCATCAGACTTCAGAAAAAAATCAGAAAATGTCTAAATAACCTTCACAGTATTTTCAAAAAAAAAAATTGCAGAGGGTTTGTCAATTATCTGTTTCAGACCAACTGTCCAATGTGGAAGGAAATAGCACTGCAATTCCTTGTAAATACAGCAATAACACTACAAACACTGAAGGTTTCAGCGTTGTCTGGACATTAAACAGAAATGCTGTGATCTCAGTCCTGGCCTCCTTCAATGGTACATCTCACTCTTACCAGCCTCGAGCCCAGATTAACCAAAGTGACTTTTCACTGATGTTGCGTGATCTGACTGTAAGTGACAGTGGAGAATATCTGTGTAATATTTCGACACCTCACTACACACAACTTACTGTGAGAACTTTGCGAGTTGGTAAGTTGCTGCTCTTCCCATTTTGGAGTATGGGGACCAGTGAGGGGAATGCGGAGCCAAAGGGTCGATCAGAAATCTAGAAAATATTGAGAAAAATCATCTTGTGTAATAAGTACAGGTGGGTAGAAGAGAGATTCTGTTATTATTGTCCCAGGGAAAAAAGGTTACCTAAGATGTATTTATTTAAAGACTTGAAGATTCTTTTCTTCAATTAGCAGCTTGCTGTGGCAAAGATCTCAAAATTGGTGGCTGCCCTCAGAGGTGAGGGCGCAGGGAAACTCTCAGAATCATGTCCTAAATGTTCCGCTGATAGCAAACACGGTCTTTAAAGGTAGCAGGGAGAGGAAGGGAAGCCCAGAGATGTGGTGTAAATGTGCCTGCAGAAGAAACCTTGTTGAGGAGGGTGCACAGTTGTTCTTTTCAAAGCTTTAATTCTACACAGCAGTCCTTTTTAGACCTGGGGATATGTATGTTTGTATGCATGCCTGCCTGCGTTTTTATGAACCGTAGTAAATTTCCAGCTGTGAAGTCTTAGTTACAGTTATTTCATCGTCTCCAGTTTCAGGGAGACTTACAGATTAACTTTTCTGTCTGTTGGAAACTCTTACCTAAGGTTACAAAAATTTACTCCAGCTTTCTAAAATTAGATTAGAGATTTGTTCAAACATAGTATGCTGTTTGGGATGCAGCCTCCTCAAATCTCAGTCCAAAGGGAGGAGAAAAAAATAAAAAAACCACATTCAAACAAACAGTAGCACATAGGCATTTTACACAATTAAATTCAATCGCCTAAAAGACTGAGAACGAATATAGGGCACCTCATTTGTAGTTTTTTTTTTTTAAGAAGAGAACTTGAAACAGGCCAGTAGGACATGAAAAATAGAGGCTACATAGAAGAAAAGGGGCTAGAATAAGCGATAACAACTGCATATTTTTGTCTTCCTTTCTCCCCCCTCCCCTATGATAGCTTAGTTTCAGTCTGAAAGCTTCATGTAGGGTGTGTTTTAAATGGCGGCGGCTATATGCAGTCTGTAGGAGGGGAGTTAGATTAAAGAAAATGGTTAAGTCGGACAAACGCATTTCCTTGCAGCTCAAATTCCAGCATGATCTTCCTTATCCTGTAAATCTAATATTGTGCCTCTGAAGTGGAGAGCACTGAAAATCCCCAAGGAGTTACTCGTTTAACTGATGCTCCTAACTTGTGCGCCCAAGTCCATCAGTCTCCCTGTACGTTTACTGGAGACTGACACGTGCCCTGTTCAGTCCAAATATGATCTGGGTCATCCTCTACAAGCACCTTGCTCTAGCTGCTCTCTGCAGATGGATCTTACAATACCCGTAGGTGATACAAGTCCCCTCTTTAGTGGCTAAATTACTGTGCCGCTCACAGAATTTTCCTACTCGTGGACCAGAAATACATTACACAGAACGGAGAAGACACTTACCAGAGAGGTTAGCATCTTCGTGGCAGCACAGGCTGAAAGCAGATAGAGACAGCAGGGCATAAGGGAACGAGCTAGGTCAGTAAGTTGGATCGTGGTCATAGCACAGCAGCTGCTCAACCGTCAGAAAGATTTCCAAGTGCCCCTGGAAAGGAGACTTTGAAGGGGAAAGGTGAGGTGAATTTGCAATCATTTTGGAGGCCTTCTCCTGTGTAAAGAAAGGTCGCAGCTTAAAGCTGCTCTACCAAAGCAACTGACGAGATGTAAATATAGGTCTGCATGTGGGGACAGAGCCAAGCTAAAGACGATGACTAGATTAAATGCTCTGTTTTGGCAGTTCTCATTTTTGAACTGTTTGCTAGACAGCTGTAGCGAGTTTCCAGAGGAACGTGGAGTTTTTCAAATTCTTTGGACAAGACGCAGCAGTGGAAAGGAAGCCTGAAGTAGAAGAACTGTACTTAAAGGAATGAGTCCTCCAGGTCTGAGTGTTCTCATGTTGTTGAAATTGGCTGGCGTAATGAGACACTTGGTGCTGTGCAGGACCAACCTCTGCTAGACGGGCTCTTATCTCCTGTGGAATCCGTTGTTACCACCCACTTGAGGATCTGCTGCCTCTTGTGACCAGCCGGATTGCATGGTTGCATCATCAAGTTGGGAAATGTTTTAGATGAAAGTTGGAAAGATTTCACAATGGAAATAATGAAATCTGTGGTCCAGGCTGGATAACGCTTACTGAGTTGTTCTACTGGAAATCAGCAGTACCGTTAATGGCGCTGAGCACTGTGCCTGGAGGCAGCGTTTGCCGTACTGGGCAGCTGATTGTTTGTAAGCGGGACTGGTATTAAGAAGTCATCAAATCGCATTACATGAGCACACATGGAATTTTGTATCAGTATAATTAAGTAAAATAAGCTGCTTTCAGCTATTCACACTTAAGTCATTAAAGTACCACTTTAAAGTCTTATAGTATAGGTCAAGTAACTTGAACATTGTTGTATTAGTAACATTAAAAAGAAACTGAGACATTCTCCCTAAATCATAACTTTTAGATTATTAATAAGAGCAAAATCATAACTTTGATATACTTAGTGAACAATAGCGAACATTAATTTGCGGTACAAAGTACTTCTGTTAACCTTTTTGGAATTTGTATTTTTAAAGAAAGTTCAGCTAACACCTGGGCAATTGTGGCAGGGGGGATCGCTATACTGGTGCTGGTAGGAGTCTGTTCCGTCTTCGGGATCAAGGTATGTACAATTGTTAGGGGATTTATTTTTAAAGGTACTATTAAGCTTAAATCCAGACCTTGAATGTTTCACCAAAACAGAAATTTGATTTTCACAGGTTCAAGCATACAAAAAAACCCTGACAATATGTAGGATGAGAAGTCTCAGCATAAATAAATTGTGCTCATTCTTACTATTTTCTATGTCCAAAAGGCCCTCTTTGGTACATCTGTGCAATGGTATTTTGGTTGTAACAATGTTAACATGACCTTCGCTTGACCAGATGCTCTCCTGTGCTCTATAAAAAGATGAAAAAGTTGGTTACCCTTCACAAATACTTTCTGATAACTTGCTTTAAAAACAATCAAACTGGTTTATTTTCTCTCACTTGTGTTTAAGACCAAAAAAACCCCAAACCAAACCGTGGAGTCCCTCAAAGAATGCACATACCTAGTCTTCATTAAGGCTCAAATTACTATTTCAATTATATCCAACATCAAAGCTCACCAAACACTTCAGTGTGAAAAGTTATACTACTTGCTTTGTTTAGGAGACTGTTATAACCATATGGTCCCCGATCTCATCTCTCTATACATCTCTCCTCTTTACTAGGGTACAGCATCTTCAAGTGAATGCATTTTATTCTTGTGCATTTGTAATAGGCTGGCTCTGTCTTACAGTATTCTGTCTCCTTCCTCTGCATTTGTGGTGGGTATCCTTAAAAAAATGAGCTTTAGCTCTTAGTCCTTAGGGTTACATGTTTCTGTGCCTGACCGTACAGTCCTATCCATGGAGAGACGTACCTTCAGACCCCCTGGGCCTTAAGATTTTGTCACATCCTGAATTTGGTAAGCTTCAGGAGCCATTTTGCAATGGTTACCATGAGGTTCGACAAGAACACACCAGAAAGACAACTCCAAAATGATTGAGTCTCAGTCTTTTTTCATTTTTCTCTCACTTAGAGAGTCACTTGCATGCTTCTTTTTAGTCAATTTTAACGCTAACATGCTTTAGAGATGATAATGTAAGAATTTAAGCAAGTTTCATTTATATTGGGAACTGTTGAGACCTTTAACATATCCTAATCAGATGAAGCGGAACAGTTTACAGGTTAACTCAGCTCCAGTTACATTGATGGAGGACTAAATGGAAGAAACAGGAATGTTTCTGCACTGTTATGTGGATGTTTATTTTGCTCAGCTAATGTTAAAATGGAAAATACTGACTTGTATTTATAGTGAGAGTGCCTTGTTCTCTTCCCACCGGAGGATTAATTTTACACATCAGTAGTTCTTACAAACATTTTTGTTTTGACTAGAAATACCGAAGAAGAGGAATCATATGAGCACCTTGACATACCGGAAGAAAATCCCCCCCTGCACACACAGATGCTACTGAGATTGCTGCTGAAAAGAACAAAGCCTTCCTTCTCCTTCCCTGTTGAGTTACACTAAGAGCCACCTGGGAATGTGGTTGTCTGAGCAATAGCAACAAGCAGCAGAACTGACAGAAAAAAAAAAAAAAAGCCAATTGAGACTCGTATGTGAGGAGTCGGCATGAAAAAGTGGAATTTGGATATCCTAAAGGGACAATGAAAAAGTTTCCACAGAAGATTAAGTTTTGAGGGAATTCTTTTTT